GAAAAATCAGCTGGAAAACTATCGGCCAATCACTCTCTTGAATTTCAGCTACAAGGTATTGGCGCGGGTGCTGGCAAGCAGGATGAAAAGGGTTCTGCACAGAGTGATTTCAGAGGAGCAGTTCGGGTTTGTACCTGGGCGGAGAATCTCTGACGCGGTGGGAATGGTAGCGGACGTCATTGATGCAGCCAAAAACGGAAACGAAGACTGGTTCATGCTCCTGGTGGATTTAAAAAAAGCATTTGATTCCGTGTCCCGAGACTTCATCTTTGAGGTGCTTGGAAAGATGGGGTTCCCGGATCGGTTCATCGGCTGGGTGAAAGGGCTGCACAGGAACACGCACACCAGCTTATTAGTCAACGGGTGGACTGGTGGTGCAGTGGATGTGGTATCGGGGGTGAGACAAGGCTGTCCGCTTGCCCCGTACCTATTTCTTTGTGCGGTGGAACCGTTGGTGCAGGAGGTGGAGAAAAAGAAGCTTGGTATCACACTTACCAGTTGTGTGGGGCAGAGACTGGCGTACGTTGGCTACGCAGATGACACCACTTTCCTGCTGCAGGGAAAACAACAAATTGCTATGGCGGAGAAGTTGCTGGGAGAGTTCGAAAGTACCTCGGGGTTGGCAACAAACAGAGAGAAGTCGGTGGTCCTCCCGCTAGGAGCAAACCTTAGGAAAAGGTCCTGGCGCACCGATGGATTCAAATGGGCAGGAGCGGACGAAGCGGAAAGACTTCTGGGGGTCTGGATTACGGCAAGTGGCAACTGCAAACCGACTTGGGACAAGGCTCTGGAAAAGATAACCGGGAAGCTGACGTTGTGGCAGCCACAATATCTCCCGATCAAAGGCCGATCGGCGGTGATGGACGGCCATATCCTCCCGATAGCTTGGTTTCATGCCCAAGTTTACCCTCCACCTGCGCAGACATGGGGGGTGATCATGAAGCTAGTGCATCACTTCATGTCAGCTAATAAAGCAACGACGGATAAGTGTTTTGTACTCTGGAACAAAGAGCTGCTGTTCACGCCTACGTTGGAAGGAGGCGTGGGGATGCGGGACCCGGAAGCGATGCTTACCTCTCTGACGGCCAGGCGCATCGGGAGAGTCCTCACGCAGTCACACGGTCTGAAGCGGGAGCTGATGAGCCAAGCAGCAGAGCTACCGTTGGGCCTGGACACTTTCGTGTCTCACAAAAAAATCCTGACGAAGTGGGAGGGGAGAAGTCAGCGGTGGAAACTGGCCTGCGAGAACTTCCTGCACTCACCGCTGGCACATACACCGACGGATCGTGGGAAGGAGGAGATTCTGATGGAGCGGCTTGTGTTCAATAGACACATTTTGTTGAACGGTACCACACCGATGGGAGGGCAGAAAGCAGCTAAGCAACTGCGGGACGTCAGGCTGGGCGACCTGGTGGCGAGGGATGCGGCGGGCTCGGGCGTACTGAAAAGTCTAACGACTCTGGAGAGGGAGCTGCGGAGCAGAGACGCGGCGAAGCTGGCGCTCAAGGTATTTGCAGCAGCCCCTGACTCGTGGAAGGCAACGCTTCTCTCAGCCGAGCTTCCGCAGGTGGGGTTTGCGGAGATCTATGAGGCAAGGAAAAAAGGAAGTGTACAGCTCCGCGCCAAACTCCTAGTGGGCGGGGAAGCTGCGCCGCTGCGGACTCTAAAAAAGCACTGGAAACACGGCAACAGCGGTCAGGCCAAGCGGGGGAAATGGGCGGAAAGATGGGACGGAATTATCGACTGGAAGCGGGCAGTGGAAATTCCGGACTCATTGGTCACCCCCAGCCGTCCGAGGGATGTGTTGCTGAGGGTACACAGTTTCAGCCTCCAAGTGGGAGAAAGGCTCGCCTTCCTCAGCAGCAAGCCAATGTGCCCTCACTGTAGCGGTGTAGAGTCATTGGAGCACTGTCTGTTTGAGTGCCCGAAAATCCAGGCAGTAGTCTCGGCGGTGAAGAAGGCCTTGCGCATGATTAATCCGGGCAGAAAGGATGAATCGCTGGGGGATTGGTTGTTCGGAAAGGCCAGCTCCACGTCAGCATTCCCGGAGGCGTCCCTGACCGCTATCGCCATACACCAGTTGTGGGCAGAACGGTGTGAAGGGGCTTTCCGAGGCTGCAAATTCCGCGTGAGGAGGGTCCTCCGGAAGATCGAGATGGCCCTACGCATGCATGTAAATGTCTACGTGCGTGCTTCGGCAGTTAAAATGCAGCAGCGTGGCACGCAACAACAGGCCAGGTGGCACAAACTGACGGAAACAGAACAACATCTGCTGAATCGCATCCGTGTAGTGGAGGGCAGAAGCTGGCGGTGGTCCAACGGCTTTGCAGCATTATGGGGCATGCCACACAGGCCCCGGATCCACGTGTAGGGATCATTACCTTTTGAGGCGGGATCATACCCTGCTTCTCATGCAACAGTTACGACTGTTTATGTGTTGTACACTTCTATTCTAGTGTATAGCCATAAAAAAAAAAAAAAAAAAAAAAGTGAGGGGTCAAAGTTCTATCTGGTGCTTGGTCAAGCATTTGGCACAAGGTTTACACCTGGAGGGAGCATACACACCCGCAGGATTGCGAAATGAAACTCTCGTCGTAAGTGCGGGGTGTGCTTGACAGACTGTGCTGTAGGATCCTGGAAACGCATCACTGATTTCTCCCTGAACCGAACAAAAGCGAAAGAAAGCCGGATCTCTTGCGACACGCGCTTCTGTCACCTAAAATCATGTCTCTGCCACTCACGCAGGACAAACGAGCGTTAGCTGTGTGCCAGCTCCCTCCAGACGCAGCCATGGCGTATCCTTTCCCTGCTTTCCAGCTTGCGTATTCACATGTACAGTATGTGAGTACGGTATCTTTGTCCTCTCCTCACATCCCTTGTCTGGAGATCCTGGACATCGCGCGGATGGAGGAACCTAGAGGACCGACCAGCAAGCAACACTGCGGTACAAAATGCGGCAGTACAGTACATCTACGTGTACTGCACCTAGGCCATCACGTCGTTCGCTAAGTCTAAATGCTGCCGCCTATGTCATTGCGAGCACAACTGTAAATACGAGCGACGCGCGGCTGGCACGCCCCGGGACAGGTGTCGTAACGCGAATGCGGCAGCAGTTACAGTAACAGGAAGTTGCACTTTAGTCGCACTGTGGTTCGGGTCTAGAAGCCGTACCTATAATCACCATACACTGTGGTTCACTTCGAGTCGTCTTACCTTCCTTCACCGTCGCCGCTCATGACATGAAAAGCAGCCATTCTTCCGCAACTCTCATTACATTTCTCGTAAGCATTCGGGAGACTATCAGATCTTTCGGACTCCTCCCCAACTCCTCAGCGACAGCAAATCTCGTCTCGTTTTAAATTCCTCTCGCGAATTCCGCTCGACCTCCCAAGCCTTTTCACTCGTCTGACGAAAGACTCATGGCGCAATCCGCGTTCTACAGACAACCTTCGCCGCCGCCGCACTTCATGGAGCCAATCAGCTTCGCAAATACTCCTCCTGTCGCTTCCGACAACTTCGCAAACGCTCCAGTCCCCCGCGAAATCGCTTCAAAGTCGCCACACGCGGTTACCAACGACTCTCATCCGTCGCAACCAAGAACCGGTACCACCGACAACAGCACAGATCTGATTCAGACCCTCCCGGGGAGGCGTCCCCACCACCGTCGATCTCACAGCGTGTCCGATGTGACGTCACTCTGGAGCATCAGCGGTCCGTGGTCCACGAAACCCGGAATTACCCGCTTTTCGAATCTCAATCTTGATGTTACTGATATTGCTTGCGGTGGTGACACTATCACCCCCAGAATCGATGGTTGCAAATCGTTGGAGCATTTTCAGTCGCCATCGCCGCGCGAATGGAGGAGAAGCTCGGTTGGCGGGATAGCCGACCATCACAGCAAGTACTGGTACAGCCCGGCGGAATCGCCGGTCGCGCAGCCAAAACCGGTGAGGGGTCACAGGAGGTATCATTCGATTAACGAGATCGATGGCTCTCTGTTTGAAGATTCTTCTGCTAATGACGATTCGGATGCCGCATCTCGCGGATCCGAAGAAACTGGCTCTGCTCTCAAGCGGAGCTGAACCCTAAAACGGAAGTGTTGATGCCGCACGCCGCGAACACAGATACCGTGTTGGTTATTCAGCGAGAGAGAGCTTGAATGGATGGTTGCGTCTCATGCATCTTGTTTGGTGAGGTGTAGGTTGTGGCTTGTATTGAGCTGCGGATGTCTGCATAAAGTGTATGCTCATAATAAGAGCATCTCCTGAATTGTTACTGAAAAGGAATTCGCAGTACTTTCACTAATCTGATCTACTCAACCACTTGAATTTCTCACGTTGAGGACCCATGAAAGGGGTTCAGATAAGGCTCCTAAGGGAATAGGCATACATGACTCATGTTAAACCCATGAGATATGCCTCTTCGTTCCATGTCATGCATTCACTGAATTAAAGCCCGTATGCAAAATAGTGAACCCAAACCCAACTTGAAAGAGTGCAGGGACGAGTTTGCCGGTCGAAACAAATTTTGGACCGGACTGACATGTTTGTACCAGTTCAAACGCTGCGGACGTGCAAATCGAACACCTTTGATTGGTTCCCGCCAAAATTGAAACATTCTCGTGATGTGTGGCGTCGCATTTCTCGTTGCACGACAACTGCATAGGCGATCGTTTCAGTCTGTCCAAGCGATTTCGGCCCACCTTATGTTTCAAGTTGGGATGGGGTGAACTACTACCAAATTTGCGTCGAAAGTTATAAGTAGCAAGGCTAGGCATAGGCTATGTCTTGACTTAGGCCCTCGTTATCTAGACATGTATTAATCAGAATGTCCAACGTGTTGTATCCGAGAGCTACGAGTGTAAGGCTTTCAGTCCGTCCCTTTGCGCCCGCGTTTTTCCGTCCCGTCGCCCACGCGATCTCCTCTCGCCTCCCTTACACACGCGATCACTTCTCCTGCCCCATAGCCGTCCTGTTCCCCCGTCCAGTCACCCGCCCATTATGCCGTCCCGTCGTCCTCGCACACCGTCGCGATCGTCGTCGCCCTTCCGTGGCTCCTCCCGTTGCCTTCCCGTCGCCCATCCCGTCGCCCATCCCGTCGCCCATCCCGTCGCCCATCCCATCGCGCATCCCGTCGCCCATCCCGTCCCTCCCCTCGTCGCCCTCTCACACGCCCCGAAACTTCCTCCCGTCGCCCTTCCTCTCTCCCATCCCGTCGCTCCCCTCGTCGCCCTCGCCAACCGTCGGAAACTCCCTCCCGTCGCCCTTCCTCTCTCCCATCCCGTCGCTCCCCTCGTCGCCCTCTCACACGCCCCGAAACTTCCTCCCGTCGCCCTTCCTCTCTCCCATCCCGTCCCTCCCCTCGTCGCCCTCGCCAACGCCCCAAAACTCCCTCCCGTCGCCCTTCCTCTCTTCCATCCCGTCGCTCCCCGCGTCGCCCTCGCACACGCCCCGAAACTCCCCACCGTCGCCCTTCCTCTCTCCTATCCCATCACTCCCTGCCGTCGCCTTTACATCTCTCCCCTCCCATCTCCCGCATCGTCACCCTCGCGCTCGGAAATGCCCTCTCTTCGCTCTTCGCCATCCCATCCCATCATCTTTAAAACTCGGTTTTTTCCCTCCCGTTTTTTCTCTTGTGTTTATTCCCATATGTAAGGCGGATGAATTGGACGGTGCTCGCTGTTGGGAAGAATGAGAGTGGGATGTCGCAAACTTGCAACATTCTTGTGTGCAAATCCAAGTGAATTGGATGCGACGGTTTCGTATGTGCTCGCTCAAAATTGATCACACTCGTTCAGTGAGGGATCCAAAAAAAAAACCACAACACTTCCAACCGTCAAAAACAATACAAATTTAGTTTGAGACTTTCAACTGGACCCAACTAGAAGGGGGGTTGCATACGGGCTTTAATTTACCAGTCTCCAACCACAAGAGCCTGCAGAAGCTGTATCATTCATCCCAACACATAGTCATGCTTGGTTGAAACACAGAAACAGCAGCCACTCCCTATCTCACAAGGCAAAGCAACACACTCCCTCACACCAACCTTCTGGCCGAAATCCCTCCCTACCACCTCAATACACCCCTCACCTCAATTTGCCTCCCTCACTCCTCGATCCACCTCCCTCTCAAACTCCCCCATAAACCTTCGCTGCCGCATATCCTCAGCAGTAATAGGTTTCCTCCAGATGCTCTTTCCCACCCCATCCACATCATCCAAGAGCTTGGAAAACTGCTTCGGAAGTCGGGCAGCCAAAAAACCATCTACATCAAATTCCTCCACCTCATCCCCATACTCGTCCAGAAGAGCGGCAGAACCCCCCTCTGCCTCCCCGGCTGCAGCACCACTGCTGCTCGCACCCTCCCTGCTGCTACTGTCACCGCTGCTACCAAAGCTGCTGCTGCTGGTGCTGCTACTGGAGACATCAGCTCGAGAGGAGGAGAATGGCATGGGGCGTGTGGGGCTGAAGAGGGCTTTCATGCGGTCGATAGCTGGCCCGATGATGCCTCCCAGGTCCCATGTGGCTGGCTCCACCACCTCAGTGCGCTGTTTGGCAGTGAGAACAAAGAAAAAAAGGGGGGGGGGGGGGGGGGGAGCAGGGGCGAGAGACGGGAAGAGGGGGCCGTGTGGGGCTGAAAAGGGCTTTCATGCGGTCGATAGCTGGCCCGATGATTCCCCCCAGGTCCCATGAGGTTGGCTCCACCACCTCAGTGCGCTGTTTGGCAGTGAGAGCAAAGAAAAGGAGGGGGGGAGAGAGCAGGGGTGAGAGACGGGAAGAGGGGGCCGTGTGGGGCTGAAGAGGGCTTTCATGCGGTCGATAGCTGGCCCGATGATTCCCCCCAGGTCCCACGAGGTTGGCTCCACCACCTCAGTGCGCTGATGGGTGGAGGTGGGGGTGAGGGCATGGGCACAGAGGACGAGGGGAGTGAGCAGCATGAAGATGGCTGGCCCGATGATGCCTCCCAGGTCCCATGAGGTTGGCTCCACCACCTCAGTGCGCTGTTGGGTGGAGGGAAGGAGAGGTGGAATGGAAAGGGGGAATATGGAGGGAATGGGGGGGTTAAGAGGCAGGGAGATGGCTGGCTCAATGATGCCTCCTAGGTCCCAAGCGTTGGGGGCGAGAGAGAGGGGGAGTTGGGGTGAGGGAATCTGGAAAAGGGGGGTTAAGGGGCAAGGAGACGACCCCAGAGCCCCACCAGTGAACCACCCATTGCAGTGAAATACCCACAAGAGTGACCTACCTGCTGCAATAACTTACCTGATGAAGGGGCATCAGCCGGAGCTCCTCTGCGCGCACGGCGTTCCCCTGCCTCTCCTCCATGGCCGCCCACGAGCACCACCGTCATCCACTCACACTCACACTCACACCCTCTTTCCTCCGTCCCCACCCTCTGTAATGACCTATGACCCACCTGCTGAAGCCGCATGAGCCGGAGCTCCTCTGCCCGCACGACTTTCCCTTGCCTCTCCTCCATTCCTCCCCACGAGCGGCATATCACCGAGTTGCCCGAGTCTACCCCAAAGTCCCACCAGTGACCCAACCACACCAGTGACCTATCCCTGTAATGACCCACCTGCTGCAGGCGCATCAGCCTGAGCTCCTCTGCCCGCACAGCAGTCCCCTGCCGCTCCTCCATGGCGGCCCACAAGGCCGTCACTCTGGCACCTAATCAAACTCAAACCCTCGCAATCCATCCTTGCCCTCTGCAATGACCCACCTGCTGAAGCCGCATGAGCCGGAGCTCCTCTGCCCTGACAGCATTCCCCTGTCGCTCCTCCATGGCGGCCCACGAACGCCACACCACCGAGTTGCCCGAGTCTTGAGTCAACTCCAAGGCCTCACCATGGACCCACCTGGTGCAATAACCTAGTAACATACCTGCTGCAGGCGCATCAGCCGGAGCTCCTCTGCCCGCACAGCGTTCCCCTGTCTCTCCTCCATGGCGGCCCACGAGCGCCACACCACCGAGTTACCCGAGTCTGCTGCCAGTGCTCTTTTGAACAGCGCTCTTGCCAGGCCTATGTTGCCCTCCCGCTCCTCCAATACGGCCCATGCCTGGGAGGGGTGAAGGGGTAGAGTTAGGAGAGAGAGGTGTAATTTTCAAGATGAGCAGGCATGCTGCTGTCTGCTGCCAGTGCTCTCTTGAACAGCGCTCTTGCCAGGCCTATGTTGCCCTCCCGCTCCTCCAATACGGCCCATGCCTGGGAGGGGTGAAGGGGTAGAGTTAGGAGGGAGAGGTGTAATTTTCAAGATGAGCAGGCATGCTGCTGTCTGCTGCCAGTGCTCTCTTGAACAGCGCTCTTGCCAGGCCTATGTTGCCCTCCCACTCCTCCAACACTGCCCATGCCTGGGATGGGCGAGGGGATAGGGTTAGGATGGCCAGTCTGACAGCAACAGACAGATTTTTTAGTTGACTCAGTAATATAAAACCCTTGCGCACCTCTTTCTATGACATGACAGCAACCCTTGCGAATACAGAACGCGTTCATGTTACCGGACTTTGTTGACTCACCTGGAACACTCTGGCAGCGTTGGGCGAGGAGTCATTGCCCTCTACGGCCCTCTGGTACAGCTCCCTTGCTCTCTTGACTTTGTTGACTCCGTTGACTCACCTGGAACACTCTGGCAGCGTTGGGCGAGGAGTCGTTGCCCTCTACGGCCCTCTGGTACAGCTCCCTTGCTCGCTGCACCCGCCCCTCCTTCCACTCCATCCACCCCCACGCCTGGTAGACCGACAGGGAGGATCAGGAGGAGGAGAGGGAATGGGGAAGGAGGAGGCAGGGGAAGAAGGAAGGGGAGGATTGAAGGCGGCACAACACTCATTCCTCCTTCCACTCCACCCATCCTGATGCCTGGGAGACAAGAGGGTGAAACGGGGGCGTTGGGAAGGTAAGTTTTTTGAGACGTCTCAAAAATAACCTATCTACACGTGGCCACCCATCCCGATGCCTGGGAGACAAGAGGGTGAAACGGGGGCGTTGGGAAGGTAAGTTTTTTGAGACGTCTCAAAAATAACCTATCTACACGTGGCCACCCATCCCGATGCCTGGGAGACAAGAGGGTGAAACGGGGGCGTTGGGAAGGTAGGTTTTTTGAGACGTCTCAAAAATAACCTATCTACACGTGGCCACCCATCCCGATGCCTGGGAGACAAGAGGGTGAAACGGGGGTGTTGGAAAGGTAAGAGAAAAGAGGGGTAGCCACACTCATATTCCAGCAGAGCCAGCGCCTGCAGCAGCGCATCATCCCTTACACCGCTCAACACACCTTAGCACCCTTCTGCACCGCACTTCACTCACTGTCCACACAGGCTGGTGGTTGGGGTCAACGAGTGAGGCCTGGCTGAACAGTTCCCTGGCCGTGCCTGTGAAGCCACATTCATACTCCAGCAGAGCCAGCGCCTGCAGCATTGCGGCATCCCTTAGCACCTCTCTTCACCGCACTCCACTCACCGTCCACACGGGCTGGTGGTTGGGGTCAACGAGTGAGGCCTGGCTGAACAGCTCCCGTGCTGTCCCTGTGAAGCCACACTCGTACTCCAGCAGAGCCAGCGCCTGCAGCAGTGCGGCGTCTTTGGGGTTCCAGACTCCTGCTTCATTAGGGTTTACTCTATCCGTATCACCAGCAGCAGCACTGTAGACTCACCGTCCACACGGGCTGGTGGTTGGGGTCAACGAGTGAAGCCTGGCTGAAGAGCTCTCTGGCCGTCCCAGTAAAGCCACACTCGTACTCCAGCAGAGCCAGCGCCTGCAGCAGCGCGGCGTCTTTGGGGTTGAGCTGCGCCCCCCGCTGCAGCAGCAGCCTCCCCCGGTCGTACCTCCCCTGAGCCGCCTCAAACAGCCCCCACGCCTGCCATGTGTAGGGGTTCTTGGGACTCGCATTCAGGGAACGCTGGGGGGGGGGAGGGGAAGGAGGGAGGAGAAGGGGTAACAGGGGAGAGATAGAGGTGTAAGGAGGGTGAGAGAACGGTGCAAGAAGGGTGAGAGAGAGCCAGCAGAGCCAGCGCCTGCAGCAGCGCGGCGTCTTTGGGGTTGAGCTGCGCCCCCCGCTGCAGCAGCAACCTCCCCCGGCCGTACCTCCCCTGGGCTGCTTCAAACAGCCCCCACGCCTGCCACATGTAGGGGTTCTTGGGACTGGCATTCAGAGAACGCTGGGGGGGGAAGGAGGGAAAGGAGAAACGGGGGAGCAGGATAGAGGGCATAGAGGCAAATGGTGGAGTGAGCTTTGAGTGGCCTCAAACAGTCCCCACGCCTGCCACGTGTAGGGGTTCTTGGGACTGGCACTCAGGGAGCGCTGGGGGGTTGGGGGAAGGAGGGAAGAGAAGGGGTGGACAAGGGCGAGAGGGAGGTGTAAGGAGGGTGATGGGAAGGTGCAAGAAGGGTGAAAGGGCCAGCAGAGCCAGGGCCAGCAGAGCCAGCGCCTGCAGCAGTGCAGCGTCTTTGGGGTTGAGCTGTGCCGTAAGCTGGAGACAGGGTGAGAGTAAGCTGTAAGTAGGGTGAGAGAGAGGAGGTAGCGAAGTGAAACAGGCTCAAACAGCCTCCATGTTTCAAACAGCCACGTGTAGAGGTTCTTGGGGCTGGGCCTTCTGAGGTGCCTGAACATACGATTTCTGCAATTTGCGGCGCCTCACTAGGGGTTTTTTGGGGCTGGCGAAAGAGCAGGGGAGGGTATGCCTAGAAGGAGTCTACTAAAGCAGCAAGGTGGGAGGTGGTTCTAAGGTATACCTGGAAGAGCAGGCGGGCAGAGGCGCCGTCTCCCTGCTGAGCCTCCAGCAGTGCCCAGGCCAGCCAGCTGGCGGCACTCTTGGCGTTCATCCGTGTGGCCTGCAAGAATAGCGCTCTTGCCTCGGCCACACGCCCGCTCTGCACCTCCATCACCGCTAGGGTCTGGTGGGGAATGGGGGAGACGAAGTGAGTAGGAGGAGGGAGGACGGCAAAATTTGAGGGTGGGAAAGAAAATAATTATTCCGAGTACCCAACCGCTCCGCATCTACTTACACTGCAATATGCATGCATTCGTTATCCTTGTTGTAGTACCTGGTATATCTACTCGTTATAAGACGTACCTGGTATATGTACTCATTCCCACCGCACGGCTTCAGCGTTTTATGCAGCAGCTCCCTCGCCCGGCGCACATTCCCCTGCTTCAGCTCCAGCACCGCTCACCCATGCCTGGTGTACGTACTCGCTAGCCGTACCTGGTATATGTACTCGTTATAAGACGCACCTGGTATACGTACTCGCTAGCCGTACCTGGTATATGTACTCGTTCCCACCACACAGCTTTAGCCCCTTCTGCAGTAGCTCCCTCGCCCGGCGCACATTCCCCTGCTTCAGCTCCAGCACCGCCCACCCATGCCATGCTGCCACGTGTCTCTCATCTGCCACCGTGGCAGCATCAAACAGCTTACGCGCCTTCTCCACGTTGCCTGCCTGCGCCTCCAGCACAGCCCAGGTCTGGAAACGAGGAAAGTGATTATGAAAAAAAAAGGGATTGATATCGGGGGATGGATGGAGAGGGGAGTGGATGGGGGAGATAGTGAGAGAGGCGCCTAGCAGTCGCCTAGCCATAGTGGCTGGCAGCATCAAAAGGCCAGCCTTTTAAAAGCCATACCACTCCCTCCTCCCCCCTCGTTGCCGCCTCCCCACCCACACCTTGCCCCATCCCCAAATTACCCTTCCCCCACCCCCCCCCACCTTCCCTTCCCTTTCCCCTCCACCGACCTGCCAGATGAACGCGTTATCTCCGCCCAGCGCCTGGCAACCGTCCTCAAAGACTCGGCGCGCTTCCCCCAGCCTGCCCTTCCGCTGCAGCATGCGCCCGAGCACCACGTACGGCCGCCCGTCGTCCGGCCAGTCGCGCACAGCCTGGGAAATGGGGAAGTGTTGCGGGGAGGGAAAGGGAAGGGGAGGGGAAGAAAGCGGGGAATACGAGTCAGACAAAAGATCCCTCGCTCACTTGCGCTGCAGCATGCGCCCCAGCACCACGTACGGCCGCCCGTCGTCCGGCCAGTCGCGCACAGCCTACAACGGTTTCAGGGCGAGGGGAAAGGAAACCGGAAAGGGGAGGGTGAGGTGACGAAAGTGAGGGGGGTAAGTGGAAGCGGGAAAGGGGAGGTGAGGAAGGTGAGGGGGGTAAGCAGAATGGGGTAAGGGGAAAGGTGGGGTTCCGACGGGGTCCAGAGATGGTCCATCCGCTGCCAAGGAGTCTCATTCTTGGAGAAGGTTTTTGAAACTTACAAGCGCTGCTGCGCTGACGACAACGCTCCTTTCCTTCCTCTCTCCTCCAATTCAGGCCATTTACCTCACCTTCCCCCTCCTTCCGCCCCAGGACCCCATCCCCTTTCTTCCTCCCCTCCCCCCTTTCCCCCTTTCCCGCTCCCTCTTCCGCCTACCTTGCGCATGAGCCCTTTCGCCTACCTTGCGCATGAGCCCTTCCGCGTCTTGCGCCTTGCCGATGCGGAACAGGTTGCGCGCGCGGTAGATGTCAAGGTCCAGGTTAATCTTCAGCCGCTTGGGGTCGTCGTTCTTCGGGGCGGGCGGAGCCCACCGCAGCGCCCCGCGCAGTGCCGCTGCCGCCCCAGGGGGAAGCTGGCTCAGACCGCCTGGGCGGAGCGGGAGGGGGGCGTGTGGGGGGGGGGGGTTGGAGAGGGCGGAAGGGAGGTGGGGGGATGATGGAATTGGACGGACGGGGAAAATCGTTTTTCGGGGAAGGGAGAGCAAATCGAAGCATCCGCGCAGTGAAGCGGCCTCTCTGGGGGAAGGCGGGCTTAGTCGGCATGGGGGAAGGGAAAAGGTGAAGTGGAGGCGAGAGCTGCAGAGAGGGGGAGGAGTGACGCATCGGAGAGGGAGGTATCTAGAGGAAGATATATGTAACGTTTCACACTTGCACTTCTCGGAAGGGATTTCGAGCCAAGAATGGTTGAGAGCATATGGGAATGCGGAGATTATTTCGCCCGAAGTCAATGACATCAATAAGCCAGTCAGAGTTACTCAGTTTTGGCCAATACAGCAGACGGCGAAAGCAAAACTGGCTGTTGAATGGGAGAACGACGTGAGAGCGGAAGGAGAAACGGGTTAGAAGGCACTGCGCGATTGCAGCCTAAACACTAGCAGAAACGACGGGTGCGGCTTACCGTCGTTGCCAATTCCGCGGCTCATCCGCGACTCGAGGAGGAAATCGCTGACGATGTCATTCTCCTGCGCAGCCATTCCGCTCCGCTCCTCGATTCCACCGCCACTCCCTATCGGAAGCTCCATATCCTCCGCACTGCTCTCCGCCGTCTCCCCCCCCTCAAACTTTTCAACCGACTCAAACCGGGTCGAACCGAACTCAGTCGGCTCAGCACCGGGCTGGACCGCTCTTGTGTTCCCGTTTTCCTCCAGAGCCACCCCGTCTACAATACCCCCTTGCGACGCAGCGGCAGTAGCGGCAGCAGGAGCGGCGGCAACAACAACGGCACTATCAACTCCTAAACTAGCCTGCGATAGCTTAGCAGTAGGCCGGGGAAGGGTTGTCTTCAGCACCCAACCCTTTTCAGTCAGCGACCACATCTTGCTCCTCCGCCGACGCCTGCCTGATTGGCCAGCAGCCTTGGCGGCTTCGTCTTGCGAGGCAAAGATTCCAGGAGATTTCTCAAGTCCTTCTGCAAGGGTTCTCCATCCAGACTTATCCTTTTCGTCCTCCATCGTCGTTCCGTTGATATTCGTTCCGTCAACTGTCGCGCCGTCTCCTCTTGACGACAGCACGAAAGTGGAAATTTCGGAGGAATCTGAATTCTGGTTTTCCACGGGACGCCATTCGAGCGAGGTTGGCGAAATGTGTGTTCCCGAGTTACCAGGAAATTCACCAGTTGCATCCGTTTCAGGGAATCTGCTAGACGAAGAGGGAGGATTTACTGATACGCGGTCGTTAATCGCGACAGCCAAGGGGTCGACTGTGGCTCTACGACCTTCGCGAGCAGACTCGCATTTCGCGGACCTCTCGTTACCTTTCGCGGACCTCTCGTTACCTTTCGCCAGCCGCACCAGCTGGCGTTGAGAGGCTCGCCCAGACTGGAGGAACTCGCTCTGGCTAAGCTCCAGAGGAGCGTGCGCTGGAGCTGAGAGAAGCGATAGCCTTAGTGAACCCATGACATTCGACGCCATGAATTCGGAAATGCTAAGGCTTTCTCTAACTATGTCTGAAAGTATATTATCTCAAGGTTGTGTGGGTTCACAGTCAGGATGGGGGAGTCGTTGAAACTTGGAGCCTTGAAAATGACGACTCTGCCGAATTCTGGTTACCGTGACGAAATGCTAGAGGCCGTCGCCATGTATAGTGTGGTTTTTGTTCAAATAATTTCGTCGAGGCTCGTGCGAGGGATACTTTCGCGATCCCTGGAGGTTGACGGGAATTCTACATCGAACCAGTGACCGCCACGAAGGCGACTGGAGGCTCCAAGCTACGTGGAGAAAGGGCCGCGCAGCCAATCGGGCCTCCGCTCTTGCGATGCATTCAGATTGCCCCACTTTCGCTTCTTTGAGGATAGCTCATTCACCTTCGCTATTATGCAACCTGGTAATACACGGAAATACCTCAACTACTCACATATATACAAGAGAACAATCACTTCGTTTGATAGCTCCTTGCAGCATCCCATGCCTTGAATTCAGCTAGCTTTAGCTTTCTATCCTCAGAACTCATTTGCAATATCTTCCTCGAAAATTCCTCACCGCTTGGTTCTCCAGCCCAAGCAGCCATGCGTGCGAACATTTCCGCCTTCACATTCGTTGATGTCGCAAGGCGCTGCTTCTCTCGGCGTAACTCCACTCGTTGCTTAAGCAGCTGTCGCGGCATATGCCGCTCTGCCGAAGCCTCCACTCCACCCTCCTTAATCCTTTTTTTAGGATTCGGCGCCTTTTTCTGCTCTTGTGCATCTCCCTTCCTCTTCCCTCCACCACCACCCTCCACCACTCCACTCTCCCCCGAAATTCCCGCCCTCGCCCCGCTCCTCTTCCTCTTCACTGATCCTGCCGCCCCATCCTGCTTCTTTATTGAACGTGACAAAGTGCAGGGCGTGACTGAGGCAGGAGGAGGGCGAGACGGAAGTTGGGGCTTGGTTGGACAGTCATCCAAGGGTGCAGCAGCCAATCGGGTGCCGGTCCTGGAGCCATTGTGGCCCCTGATGACGTCATCATTCACATGGGTGTATGCCACACCAGCATCAAGAAGCTCGTCTGGTATAGACCCCATGGCATAGTCATCATGCCCCATGCCATGTCCATCATGACCCATGCCATCTGCATGACTACCCACCCCCTCCTGCCCTCCTTGATGCCCCCTCACACCATCACTCTCCCCCCCACTATCCTCAATCTCATCCTCTTCCTCCTCCTCCCCATCCCTGTCTCCTCTCCCATCCAAACCTTCCTCCCCTTTCCTACCCTCCCGTCTCCCCTTCCTCCTCTCACACCTCCCCTTTCCTCTCCCTTTGATCTTCTGCTTCCATACACCAGGCACCTCTCTCTCCTCTACGAATCTTGCCAGCCCACTCACACCATTGTCATCTTCCTCATCCTTCCTCCCCTTCACCCTACCGCCTTTCACCAGCTTTTCCTCTCCCTTACTTGCCAAGCCAAGCCCTTCGCCTTCAGATAATATGCCAGGTGCTTCAGGAGACTCCCCAGGTGTTTCAGGTGCCATGCCACAACCAGGCACCTGAACAACAAGCAGATCATTTCCGTCCTTTTCCGAATCACAGAGCTGCGTTCCCCGCACAGCTGACTGTTCAGACCTCCTTGGCATCTCCTTTCCCACGTCCTCCACCTGTCGTTTCTCTGCCATGCTTCCTGTCTCCTCCTCCATCTCCTGCCCCCCCTGCTGCTTCTCCTGCTTTTGCTGCTGTTGTGGCTGCCTGGTTGCCTTCCCTATGATCTCGGCTGACAGAATGCTCGTGCTGCGGTCTTGAAACAGGTTTGCCACTCCAAACAACTCACCCTGATGGGCCTTGGAGCCCTGCGGGAGGGAGAGATAGTCAGATGGGTAGAGAGTAGAAATCTGCACTGATTAACTGACATAGATTCCCTGCACAAGCTTCTCAAATGCATGGAGCATTATGACTGCCTTCCACCTCGTCCACTGCGCCTTATCTCCCTCCTTCCCCCTCCCTTTTCCTAATCCACTCCTTTGAGTCGACTCAAAGCCCACACCTATCCACCCACCTGCACGCCTGTGAAGTATCGGTTCTCCGTGGCCCCTTCAATCGCGATGTTGGTCTGCTGCTGCTTGTACACCTGCCGCAGATACACCACCTCCTCCACCGTCCCGCCTGCCACTAGCCGATACACCGACACGTGCCGAGTCTGGCCGAACCTGAACGAACGATCCTGAGCCTGAAATTAGGGAAGCGGGGGTGGAAAGGAAGAGGTTAAAAGGAGTACAGGTGCTGAGAATCGTGGGCCGGGTTTAAGGAGAACCACTTTTGAGAGATTTCAAAAGTGATTTCGTCACTCAGTTGAAGTTCAGTAGGTTGACTTGAGACGACTCAAAGCAGCAGTCACAACTCTCCTCACCTTTGGATCGTGATCTCAGTTCCAACTCGTATGTGGAATACAAATCAATAGACAGGGGTCCCCTTACCTGTAGATCGTGAGCTGGGTTCCACGTGGGGTCGAATATGATGACTCGGTTGGCGCTGACTAGATTGAGACCGATCCCACCTGCCTTGGTTGATATGAGGAACACCTGAGGGAGAGAGGAGAGGGGAAGGGCTGGAGTTGAACCCGTGCACGAGGGCTTGCCGCGTTGCTGTTGAAGTGGAGCTGTCGAGGCGAGAGGATGGTGATGCTGTCAGGGCATGAAGAGTGTGTGTCTAAGTGGAGACCGGTGAGCGTCACCTGTAAAGAAGGGCTGGAGTTGAACCCGTGCACAAGGGCTTGCGGGTGTTGCTGTGGCGGTGGAGCCATCGAGGTGAGAGAAGGGTGCGTTGACAATGAATCGATGATGTGGGAGAGAAAGGTTTACCTTTATAGAGGGGCTGGAGTTGAACCCGTGCACGAGAGCCTGCCGCGTTGCTGTGGAGGTGGAACCGTCAAGGCGAGAAAAGGAGATTCCTCGGGCCTCTAGAAACCGCTGAAGCACGTCCAGCATTCTGAAACGAGAGAGGCGAGGGGGGGCAGATTGAACAAGGGCGAATAGGTGAGGTACGCAAAAGCATTGTGATGGGTTGGAGGGCCTTTAGAATCGGTTCTGATGGGCGAATCTAGCATTTTGGGACGAGCGGGATGGTAGGCAGGACAGGTGAGGAAGAGAAATGAGCTATGAGCAACACGTTTTTAACGCTTTGCTTGGCCGTGGTTGATTCGATTTTGACTCTCGCATTGAATTACTTGACCGAGTGGCTGAACAGCAGCCGATCCCCCCTCCCACACCCTCAGCTTCCCACAGTGCTTGATTCGGTTTGACTTACTCTCACTTGACTTGCTTTGACTCACCAAATCAACATCAGCTTGACAAAAAAATTATAGCTTTGACTTACTTGACCGAATGGCTGAACAGCAGCACTTTATCCCCCTTCCCACACCACTGCTTCAGCAGCCGATCCAGCGCCCTCAGTTTCCCACAATGCTCGCTACTGCTAAGTGTCAGCAGATCACTCGCCGCCCGCACGCCGCCCGCCAGGTCAGCATCGCCAGCCAGCGCCAGCCTGGCGAAAGCGAGATCCCTGGCCTGCTTGTCGGGAGGGTCCCTGGGATTTGGCTTTAGCAGCTCCAAGTGGTTGCTGATCTGGAAGAGGGAAATGATGAGAGGAAACAGGAAGAGATGCGTGGAGCAGGGATGTGGAGTGGTGGGGGTTGAGATGCAGAATAGGAGAATGCAAGATCCGTGGCCTGCCTGCTTGCATGGGGGGTCTCTGAAACTGGGCTTTAACAGCTCCCAATGGTTGCTGACCTGGAGAAAAGGGAAAGGAAGAGCGAGAACGAGAGGAAGGGGGTGGAAGAATTGGATCACCCCTCAGTACTCCATCCATAGTCTCTCGTGACCTCGTCTATTCACCTCGTGCTCTTTCACATGCCACATGCCTCCTCTTTCACTTGCTGCAGACACTCACTCAGCACCCCTCCCCCCGCCCTCTCCTCGGCCCCATCCCCCCTGTAATGCCGCTCACTCACCTGCTGCAGCTTGGAGAGGCAGGGGAAGAGCACGCAGAAGGGGCAGCACCACAAACTGCAGTCCATAGTCCCATCTATTCACTCTCACATGCCTGTTACACTTGCTGCACCCACTCACTCACTCACCTGCTGCAGCTTGGACAGGCAGGGGAAGAGCACGCAGAAGGGGCAGCGCGCTTTCTGAGACATGTAAGAAATCGTTAACTCCTTACCACACAGCTACTCGCTCACCTGCTGCAGCTTGGACAGGCAGGGGAAGAGCACGCAGAAGGGGCAGCGCGGGCAGCAGAGGCCGTCCGGGTGGAGGGACGTCCACAGCACGCCTCCCCCTCCCATCTCTTCGCCCCCGTCCCCTTTATGGTGGCACTCGCTGCGCTTCCTTGGGCCGCCACAGCTGTTGGAGATACAAGGGCAGAGGGGCGGGGATGCAAGCACAGGGGATTGGGATGGAGGGACGACCACAGCACCCCTCCCCCTCCCATCTTCCTGCCGCCGTCCCCTTTATGGTGGCACTCGCTGCGTTTCCCCGGCCTGCCACAGCTGTTGGAGATACAAAGACAAAGGAGGACGGTTACAAAATGAAGAGCCGTATCAATCTGCATTACGCCCTCCCCTCCCCTCTATCTTCCCCTCTTCCCTCCCCTCTATCTTCCCCTCTCCCTTCCCCCGCCCCTCTCCTCGCCCCCGTCCCCTATATCGTGGCACTTGCTGCATTTCCTCGGCCCGCCATAGCGTTTAGAGAACAACAAGCCTAACAGCGTAACAGCGCAATGGTAATGGTAATGCTTGTTGGGATGTTGGGCTGTTGCGTAACAGCGTAACAGCTTAACATTACTACGACCATTACCATTACCATTATCACTACCACTACCACTACCATTATCAATACCATTACCACTATCATTACTATTACTATTACCATTATCCTTACCATTACCATTACCACTACCGTTACCACTACCATTACCATTACCATTATCATTATCATTATCATTGCCAGTATCATTACCATTACCAATACCACTACCATTACTATTACCATTACCATTGCCATTATCATTTCCATTACCATTACTATTACCACTACCACTACTATTTCTATTTCCACTACCATTATCATTACCATTACGACTACCACTACCATTACTATTACGACTACCACTACCACTACCATTACTATTACCAATACCACTACCATTACCATTATCATTACCATTACCACTACCATTTTTATTATCATTACCATTACTATTACCACTACTATTACCATTTATAATTTCCATTACCACTACTACTGCCATTACTACTGCCACTGCCATTACCATTACCATTACAACTATCACTACCATTAAAATTAGCTTAGCATTATCATTATCATTGCCACTACCATTACCATTACCACTACTATTACCATTACCATTACCATTACCATTACCATTACTATTACCACTACCATTATCATGACCACTACCATTACCATTACCACTACCATTATCATTATCATTAGCATTACGACAATCATTACCATTACCATTTCTATAAAACATTACCACTAACAGCCTAACAGCCTAACAGCGAAACAGAGTAACTTCGTAACAACGTAACAGCGTAACAGCCTAACAGCTTAACAGCCTAACAGCCTAACAGCCTAACAGCCTAACAGCCTAACAGCCTAGCAGCCTAGCAGCCTAGCAGCCTAGCAGCCTAGCAGCCTAACAGCCTAACAGCCTAGTAGCCTAGCAGCCTAACAGCCTAACAGCCTAGCAGCCTGGCAGCCTAGCAGCCTAACAGCCTAACAGCCTAACAGCCTAACAGCCTAACAGCCTAACAGCCTAATAGCCTAGCAGCCTAGCAGCCTAGCAGCCTAACAGCCTAACAGCCTAACAGCGTAACAGCCTAACAGCCTAACAGCCTAACGGCCTTACAGCATACAGAGAAACAGCCTAACAGCCTAACTGCGTAACAGCGTAACAGCCTAACAGCCTAACAGTCTAACAGTCTAACAGTGTAACAGCGTAACAGCCTAACAGCGTAACGGCGTAACAGCCTAACAACGTAACAGCGTAACAGCCTAACAGCGTAACAGCGTAGCAGCGTAACAGCGTAACAACCTAACAGCGTAACAGCGTAACAGCCTACCAGTCTAACAACGTAACAGCGTAACAGCCTAACAACCTAACAGCCTAACAGCCTAACAGCGAAACAGAGTAACAGCGAAACAGAGTAACTTCGTAACAGCGTAACAGCGTAACAGCGTAACAGCCTAACAGCTTAACAGCCTAACAGCCTAACAGCCTAACAGCCTAATAGCCTAACAGCCTAACAGCCTAGCAGCCTAGCAGCCTAGCAGCCTAACAGCCTAGCAGCCTAACAGCCTAACAGCCTAGTAGCCTAGCAGCCTAACAGCCTAACAGCCTAGCAGCCTAGCAGCCTAGCAGCCTAACAGCCTAACAGCCTAACAGCCTAACAGCCTAACAGCCTAACAGCCTAGTAGCCTAGCAGCCTAGCAGCCTAGCAGCCTAACAGCCTAACAGCCTAACAGCGTAACAGCCTAACAGCCTAACAGCCTAACGGCCTTACAGCATACAGAGTAACAGCCTAACAGCCTAACTGCGTAACAGCGTAACAGCCTAACAGCCTAACAGTCTAACAGTCTAACAGTGTAACAGCGTAACAGCCTAACAGCGTAACGGCGTAACAGCCTAACAGCGTAACAGCGTAACAGCCTAACAGCGTAACAGCGTAGCAGCGTAACAGCGTAACAGCCTAACAGCGTAACAGCGTAACAGCCTACCAGTCTAACAACGTAACAGCGTAACAGCCTAACAGCGTAACAGCGTAACAGCCTAACAGCCTAACAGCCTAAATCGTAACAGCGTAACAGCCTAACAGCCTAACAACGTAACAGCCTAACAGCGTGAAAGCGTAACAGCGTAACAGCGTAACAGCCTAACATCGTAACAGCGTAACAGCCTAACAGCGTAACAGCGTAACAGCGTAATAGCCTAACAGCGTAACAGCCTAACAGCCTAACAACATAACAGCGTAACAGCCTAACAGCGTAACAGCCTAACAGCCTAACAGCCTAACAGCGTAACAGCCTAACAGCCTAATAGCGTAACAGCGTAACAGCCTAACAGCGTAACAGCGTAACAGCCTAACAGCGTAACAGCGTAACAGCGCAACAGCGTAACATCGTAACAGCGTAACAGCCTAACAGCGTAACAGCCTAACAGCGTAACAGCCTAACAGCCTAACAGTTTAACAGCCTAACAGCTCAACAGCGTAACAACGTAACAGCCTAATAGCCTAACAGCCTAACAACCTAACAGCGTAACAGCCTAACAGCGTAACAGCGTAACAGCCTAACATCGTAACAGCGTAACAACGTAACAGCGTAATAGCCTAACAGCCTAACAGCCTAGCAGCCTAACAACCTAACAGCCTAGCAGCCTAGCAGCCTAACAGCGTAACAACATAACAGCCTAACAGCGTAACAGCGTAACAGCCTAACAGCCTAACAGCGTAACAGCGTAAAAGCGTAACAGCGTAACAGCGTAACAGCCAAACAGCCTAATAGCGTAACAGCCTAATAGCGTAACAGCGTAACAGCCTAACAGCCTAACAGCGTAACAGCGTAACAACCTAACAGCGTAACAGCGTAATAGCGCTATAGCCTAACAGCGTAACAGCATAACAGCCTAACAGCGTAGCAACCTAGCAGCCTAGCAGCCTAACAACGTAACAGCCTAACAGCGTAAAAGCGTAACAGCGTAACACCGTAACAGCCTAACAGCCTAATAGCGTAACAGCCTAACAGCGTAACAGCGTAACAGCCTAACACCCTAACAGCGTAACAGCGTAACAGCCTAACAGCGTAACAGCATAACAGCGTAATAGCCTAACGGCCTAGCAGCCAAGGAACCTAACAGCGTAACAGCATCACAGCCTAACAGCGTAACAGCGTAACAGCCTAACAGCCTAACAGCGTAACAGCCTAACAGCGTAAAAGCGTAACAGCGTAACAGCCTCACAGCCTAATAGCGTAACAGCCTAACAGCGTATCAGCGTAACAACGTAACAGCCTAACAGCCTAAGAGCGTAACAACATAATAGCCTAATAGCGTAACAGCCTAACAGCGTAACAGCCTAACAACCTAACAGCTTAACAGCCTAACAGCGTAACAGCGTAACAGCCTAACAGCCTAACATCCTAACAACCTAACAGCCTAACAGCGTAACAGCGTAACAGCGTAACAGCCTAACAGCCTAACAGCGTAACAGCCTAACAGCGTAACAGCGTAACAGCCTAACAGCCTAACAGCCTAACAACGTAACAGCATAACAGCCTAACAACGTAACAGCCTAACAGCCTGACAGCGTAACAGCGTAACAGCCTAACAGTGTAACAGCGTAACAGCCTAACAGTGTAACAGCCTGACAGCGTAACAGCCTAACAGTGTAACAGCCTAACAGCCTCACAGCGTAACAGCGTAACAACCTAACAGCCTAATAGCCTAACAGCCTGACAGCGTAACAGCCTAACAGCCAACAGTTTAACAGCGTAATAGCCTAACAGCCAACAGTTTAACAGCGTAATAGCCTAACAGCCTAACAGCCTAACAGCCTAACAGCGTAACAGCCTAACAGCCTAACAGCGTAACAGCCTAACAGCGTAACAGCGTAACAGCCTAACAGCCTAACAACGTAACAGCATAACAGCCTAACAACGTAACAGCCTAACAGCCTGACAGCGTAACAGCGTAACAGCCTAACAGTGTAACAGGGTAACAGCCTAACAGTGTAACAGCCTGACAGCGTAACAGCCTAACAGTGTAACAGCCTAACAGCCTCACAGCGTAACAGCGTAACAACCTAACAGCCTAATAGCCTAACAGCCTGACAGCGTAACAGCCTAACAGCCAACAGTTTAACAGCGTAATAGCCTAACAGCCAACAGTTTAACAGCGTAATAGCCTAACAGCCTAACAGCCTAACAGCGTAACAGCCTAACAGCCTAATAGCCTAACAGCCTAACAGCGTAACAGCCAAATAGCGTAACAGCCTAACAGCCTAACAACGTAACAGCATAACAGCCTAACAACGTAACAGCCTAACAGCCTGACAGCGTAAAGCGTAACAGCCTAACAGCGTAACAGGGTAACAGCCTAACAGTGTAAGAGCCTAACAGCGTAACAGCCTAACAGTGTAACAGCCTAATAGCCTCACAGCGTAACAGCGTAACAACCTAACAACCTAATAGCCTAACATCCTGACAGCGTAACAGCCTAACAGCCTAACAGCGTAACAGCCTAACAGCCAACAGCTTAACAGCGTAACAGCCTAACAGCGTAACAGCCGTAACAGCCTAACAGCGTAACAGCTTAACAGCCTAATAGCCTAACAGTCTAACAGCGTAACAGCCTGACAGCCAATAGCTTAACAGCGTAACAGCCTAACAGCGTAACAGCCTAACAGCCTAACAGCGTACCAGCTTAACAGGGTTTAAAAGTCTTCCTTGCAAGCTAGAATAGACCCCTAGGCCCCATGTGACCTGCACGGCTCGTCCTTTCGTGAGAGGAGCTGAAAGTCGGGCAGTTTCAAACAGCGCTGATACACCCTCCTGTGGAGTGATTTTCCAGTCCCTTACATACAGGCTACATCAAACCCCTAAACCCCTTCTCACCTGCATAGCTCATCTTTTCGGGAAAGCAGCTGAAAGTCGGGCAGCTTCAGACAGCGCTGGTACACCCTCCTCTGGAGTGACGTCATCGGGCAAACCAAGATCATGTCGCACTTTCCTGGAAGCTTCAGCGGGCCCTGCAGGTCATCCTTGTGCCGCCGAAGCAGCACCCGAGCCAGCGCCCGAACCAGCTCCACCTGTCGAGCCTGCGCCCGAGCCACCAGAGGCTGGGGAGCCCCCTTGCGCTGACCCTGAGATTGGGGGTTGGGAGTGAGTGAGGTGGGAGGTTCGGAAGGGAAAAGAGAAGAAAAAAAACTATATCCCGAGCACACCCACGGAAGCAGGCTCTGCAGCTCTGCTCCGCTTCCCTCAGGGCCTCGCTCCACCTTGTGTGATAAGTCGAGTTTTGAGTCAGCAGACTCTGCAGCTCTGCTCTGCTTCCCTCAGGGCCCCCCGTTCGACCTTTTCACGGCCAACCCCCATGCTTACCAGCCTGTTTTGAGTCAACTCAAAACACCAACCCCCATGCTTACCAGCCTGTTTTGAGTCAACTCAAAACACCAACCCCCATGCTTACCAGCCTGTTTTGAGTCAACTCAAAACACCAACCCCCATGCTTACCAGCCTGTTTTGAGTCAACTCAAAACACCAACCCCCATGCTTACCAGCCTGTTTTGAGTCAACTCAAAACACCAACCCCCATGCTTACCAGCCTGTTTTGAGTCAACTCAAAACACCAACCCCCATGCTTACCAGCCTGTTTTGAGTCAACTCAAAACACCAACCCCCATGCTTACCAGCCTGTTTTGAGTCAACTCAAAACACCAACCCCCATGCTTACCAGCCTGTTTTGAGTCAACTCAAAACACCAACCCCCATGCTTACCAGCCTGTTTTGAGTCAACTCAAAACACCAACCCCCATGCTTACCAGCCTGTTTTGAGTCAACTCAAAACACCAACCCCCATGCTTACCAGCCTGTTTTGAGTCAACTCAAAACACCAACCCCCATGCTTACCAGCCTGAGAGGGTCGCTGTATCGCTCGTTGAACTCCTTGAGAGAGCCCAGATAGCCCCGCCGCACCCACTGCAGCACACTCCACAGCTCCCGGAACTCGTTCTGCATGACTGTGCCTGAGAGGCCGTAGCGGCGAGCAGTGTTGATGCGATCCGCACACTGGGAGAGGGGAGGGGGGAAAGGAGGGGGAGGAGGGGAGAGCGAACAGGAGGGGTGGGGACAGATGAATCCCAGTCGTACTCACTGCAGCACGCTCCACAGCTCTCGGAACTCATTCTGCATGACTGTGCCTGACAGGCCGTAGCGACGAGCAGTGTTGATGCGATCAGCACACTGGGAGAGGGGAGAAAGAAGGGGAGAAGGGATTTAAACCAGAGGGATGGGGACAGGCGGGACTGCAGAACGCTCCAGAGCTCTCGAAACTCGTTCTGCATGACTGCCTGACAGGCCGAATCGACGAGCAGTGTTAATGCGATCAGCACACTGGGAGAGGGGGGGGATGCAGAGAAGAGAGAGGAGACGGGGAGAAGGGAGGGGAGGGCGAACAGAAGGGGTGGGGACCGGAAATCATGTGCACAACCACTGCAGCACACTCCGGAGCTCTCAAAACTCGTTCTGCATGGCCGTAGCGACGAGCAGTGTTGAGGCGATAAGGGCACTTCTCCTGGCAAACTGCTCAGCAAACTGGGAAAAGGGAGAAGTGGTGAAGGTGGGGGGTGTAAAGAAAACAAAGCAGCAGGGATCGCAGCACTCCCCATGGGCATGCTGATTGCATCGAACATGCTCCTGGAACTCATTCGGCATGACTGTGTCTGCATGTGCCATGGGGCCAAACAAAGTCATCTCTGCTGCATATATAGAGCCTACCAAAACAGCCTAACCATACCTGGAACAGAGCAGAGCTGTAGCTTCGCAGTTTGTGCACCTCGTCCACAATCGCCATGAGCCATGGGTGCGGGCATAGCGTGTCTGCTGCAACCCGGAACGTGTCGAACGTGGTCAGCACGACCTGCGGTGAGGGGGGTGATAAGATGCACAAAAGAAAGAAGAGTTGAAGATTGGTGACTCTTGAGTCATCTCGCTTTAACTCAAGCGTCAATTGCAAAACGGAACGTGTCGAACGTCTTCAGCACGACCTGTGGTGAGATGAAGGGGGGGGAGGGGTGATGGAATGAACAAAAGACAAGATGGAGATAGATGACTCTCAGCCCTATCCGAGTGCAGCTGCACCAGCGCAACTCTCTGTGTGAGTCGTGAAGAATAAAGGTTTGGAAGTGCCCCTGCCGAACCACCTCCTCCTGCCAGTTGCCACACCAACCCAATTGCCCACTGCCACTCCTCACTCACCTCTTCCCACCCTGAGCGCAGCTGCACCAGTGCAGCCTCTCGGTGTGCGCCATGAAATAAAGACACTCGCCAACACCCAAACCCAACCCCCCTACAACTCACACTCACCTCAGCCCACACTCACCTCAGCCCACACTCACCTCAGCCCACACTCACCTCAGCCCACACTCACCTCAGCCCACCCTCACCTCAGCCCACACTCACCTCAGCCCACACTCACCTCAGCCCACCCCGAGCGCAGCTGCACCAGTGCAGCCTCCCGGTGTGACCCGTGGAAGATGGAGATTCGGAAGTGCCCCCACCGATTCAGCTCCTCCTGCCAGTTCCCCAGCACTGAGCTCGGCACCACCACCAGAATCGCCGTCCGAGCTGCTGCCCCTCCTGCTGCTGCCCCATCTACTGCTGCCCCCCGTACTGCTGCTGTCCCTGCACTGCTCCCCCCTCGACCCGTTGTAGCTTCTCTATCCCTCGCTGCTGCTGTGGTTGTTGCAGCAGTAGCTGCTTCTGCCGCTGCTGAGACTGCAGCTGCCTGTGCTGCTGCTGCAGTCACAGTAACAGAGGGAGCAGCCATGTCCTCAGCTGTGCCGGCCTTCCCCAGCACTGCTGCCATCAGCGCAATCGCCTGAATCGTTTTGCCCAAGCCCCTGCTCACAAGACAAGACACACACAAGTTGTTCGCATGAAACAGATTGTTCAGATGAGACAAACTGCAGTCTTCAGCTGTGCTGGAGCAGCCATGTCTTTCACGGTCCCGGTCTTTCCCAGCACTGCTGCCACCAGCGCGATCGCCTGAACAGTCGTCCCCAAGCCCTGTTCACACGGCGCAAGTTATACACACGAAACAGAATTTTCAGATGACTGTTGGAGTCCTCAGCTGGGCGCAGCCAAGTCCTCAGCTGTGCCTGTCTTTCCCAACACTGCTGCCATCAGTGCGATCACCTGATTTGTCTTGCCCCCACACCTAGCCCCCCCACTTAGCCCCCCACTTAGCGCCCCCACTTAGCACCTCAAACCTTCACCTCAAACCTGCACCTAAAACTTGCACCTCAAACCTGCACCTCAAACCTGCACGTCAAACCTGCACCTCAAACCTGCACGTCAAACCTGCACGTCAAACCTGCACGTCAAACCTGCACCTCAAACCTGCACCTCAAACCTGCACGTCAAACCTGCACCTCAAACCTGCACCTCAAACCTGCACCTCAAACCTGCACCTCAAACCTGCACCTCAAACCTGCACCTCAAACCTGCACCTCAAACCTGCACCTCAAACCTGCACCTCAAACCTGCACCTCAAACCTGCACCTCAAACCGGCACCTCAAACCTGCACCTCAAACCTGCACCTCAAACCTGCACCTCAAACCTGCACCTCAAACCTGCACCTCAAACCCGCACCTCAAACCCGCACCTCAAACCTGCACCTCAAACCGGCACCTCAAACCCGCACCTCAAACCCGCACCTCAAACCCGCACCTCAAACCCGCACCTCAAACCCGCACCTCAAACCCGCACCTCAAACCCGCACCTCAAACCTGCACCTCAAACCTGCACCTGCACCTCAAACCCGCACCTCAAACCCGCACCTCAAACCCGCACCTCAAACCCGCACCTCAAACCTGCACCTCAAACCTGCACCTCAAACCTGCACCTCAAACCTGCACCTCAGACCTGCACCTCAGACCTGCACCTCAGACCTGCACGTCAAACCTGCACGTCAAACCTGCACCTCAAACCTGCACCTCAAACCTGCACCTCAAACCTGCACCTCAAACCTGCACCTCAAACCTGCACCTCAAACCAGCACCTCAAACCTGCACCTCAAACCTGCACCTCAAACCTGCACCTCAAACCTGCACCTCAAACCTGCACCTCAAACCTGCACCTCAAACCTGCACCTCAAACCTGCACCTCAAACCCGCACCTCAAACCCGCACCTCAAACCCGCACCTCAAACCCGCACCTCAAACCCGCACCTCAAACCCGCACCTCAAACCTGCACCTCAAACCTGCACCTCAAACCTGCACCTCAAACCTGCACCTCAAACCTGCATCTAAACCTGCACCTCAAACCTGCACCTCAAACCTGCACCTCAAACCTGCACGTCAAACCTGCACATCAAACCTGCACATCAAACCTGCACCTCAAACCTGCACCTCAAACCTGCACCTCAAACCTGCACCTCAAACCTGCACCTCAAACCTGCATCTAAACCTGCACCTCAAACCTGCACCTCAAACCTGCACGTCAAACCTGCACCTCAAACCTGCACCTCAAACCTGCACCTCAAACCTGCACCTCAAACCTGCACCTCAAACCTGCACGTCAAACCTGCACCTCAAACCTGCACGTCAAACCTGCACCTCAAACCTGCACGTCAAACCTGCACCTCAAACCTGCACCTCAAACCTGCACCTCAAACCTGCACCTCAAACCTGCACCTCAAACCTGCACCTCAAACCTGCACGTCAAACCTGCACCTCAAACCTGCATGTACCCATGTTCGCTATAGTCTCGTACATGTCATCTGCCAGAATGCCGCCCGTGTTCTGTCGGAACAGTCGGTACAGGAACCGCACCCCCTCCTTCTGATGCTCCATCAGGTGCCTACTGATAGACGCTGGAACCCTCACCACCTCCTCATCTCTCCCACTCTCCTTCGCAGCTACTGACTCTCCTCCGTTCTCCTGCTCGTTCCCCTGCTCGTTCTTTTGCTCGTTCCTACTCTGCGGCCACACCACCAGCCCTTCGCCCCCCTCGGTACTTCTCCACACGCCACCATAACTATCCCAGTCTTCCCCCTTCCTCCTCTCTTCTTCCTCTAAGTATTCCTCCCATGCCAGCGCCCTAGCATGCTTCACAGCCACGCCACCACTCGCTCCTCCTGTATCGTCGTGCTCTTTTGACTCCCCGCCTTCCCTCCTTGCTCCTGCAAACTCTCCTGTTTTCCCTCCTGCCACTTCCACTCCCCCTCCCACACCTCCCTTCTTTTCTCCCAATCCTCCTTTGTTCCCCCCCCTTTTTCCTTCCTCGCCTCCCTCTCTTCTCCTCTCTCCCCGTTCCTCTCCTTCCGTTCCTACTCCAACTTCGTCTCTACCATCCAAAGCTGCTGCCAAAACAGTACCCCGTGCCTCCGCAGCCGTTTCTTCGACTCCTAAATCCTTCGCTGATAACGCGTTCGCCGCAAGGTCGCCAGCGTTTCTCCCTGGGCTCCCTATTTTCGGAAAATCTGACGGCGTCATCGCTCCTGACGTTTTCCGTCCGTCACAGGCTCTAAGCCATGCCGAGAAAACTCGGTCACGTGACGGAGACGTCTCTTTAATCGCCTGACTTTCCTGCCTAACCTTCCGTTCCTGTGACTTCTTACTCTCATGAGCCTCATGACTCTCCTGAACATCCTGACCATCCGAGTATATACTCGGCCTGCCTTCCACTAGTCCTCGCCGCTCGTCCTCTCGCTTCCGCTCCTCTTCATCTCCCCTGCATTTGTCACCTCCTGCCTTTTCTAGGTGCACGTTATCGTCCAGTCTACTTCTATCATCTCCTGCCTTGTCTTGGTCTGGACATCGATCAGGCTCACGCGACTCGTGATCATTCGAGATGACACCTTTCGAAGGCTTGAAGAAGAAATCGAAAAAATCATCGGTCGAAACCATGCTCGGGAAAAAAATTCGGGGGTATCACCTGGTCGAAGCATAAGCGGAAGTCCACGCGTCTAATTGGAATGCATGTCTGACGGCATAGGCTATCTCGAAAGGCTCACATAGACACTAGTATAAGTCGAGTTATTACGTGACCTGGACGAAACACTAATACGCTCAAGACGTGTGAAACGGGTCTGAGTAGGCGATCTTGAATAAAGCTCTATAGCGGCGTGTTGCAATTGCCGGTGCACTGCATCGGCTCGGGAAATTTGGAAGGCTCCAGGCAGGCGGGAGGCCAAACACGGGCACTGATTCGGGAAAGAAAAGTTTCAAGATAGTGATTCAAATGTTTATTTACGAAGGTTATGTTAGGGCAGTTTTTTTCTGCGAGTTTTTTGCAAAAGTTTTACAGCTTCTTGCGTTCCTGGAGCCTTCCTAAACCCGTGCCACGAGCCGAGCCGATGCAGTGGCCGCAAATTGCAACACGCCGTAAAAGCTTTTTTGCGGCAGTTGTCAGACGGTGTCGCGACTCGCGACGCATTTCTGTCAGGTTTGTGCATTCAAAACCAGTCATCAAACCTCCGAGATGTATTCGGTATAAAACGGGCGGATATAATGTAATCATACCAAGCGTTTTGACGTTGTAGGGCTCAAAGAAGCTCTAGGAAGATTCTTAGGAACACGCTGTTATAAGTACCTATACACCAAGAAGCTCTAGGAAGATTCAACATGCAATTTATACAAAACCACATCATTTCAAAGATGATTGCAAGTTCTATGTAAGTCCCGCTTGATTATAGCTCACCCAGATTTGATGCACTTCCAACTTTCGAGCCAGCAGCACAGTGAGTACCGTGTTTGACAGATCAGCTGGTAGATTCAGCACATAACGTTTTCAGAAGCGTAATTGTAAACAAGAAGCTGGTTAACTCAATAAGGACGTCCTTCGCCTTCTTATCTTACAAAACAGGGTTTGGAATTCAGTTTTCCTCCATCCATACACCTTCTCAATTCCAAGTCCCAGTTTTACAGGTCTACTTACCCACTCGAGCAACTCGTAAACATGTCAGAGATACGGACTTGTTGTGTTTCTTGTTGGGCTGAGAAAAACCCTTAGGATCTTTGCAGGGTTGAACTCTGGGTAGGACTTGTTGTAATTAGCGGAAGCGTTTAATGGAGTAGTTGAACCACCTTGCGCTAGTATGTGAGGGCAAAGTGAATTGATTAAAGCAAAGAGATACAAGATTATATAAGAGTACAAGGAATACGAAGACATACGGTTGCAACTAATTTACTGTTGCTATTGCGGTTCGATACAGTGACGACTCGGGCAACTGCTCCGTAGCGAGTCAGTTGTGTGTCCTTGCTGTCGCGCTGTACTTGTCAGGTCAAAGGTCGCTGACCTTTGACTTTCGCGTAACCTCCAGCAACTGCTCAACTTCCGAGGGTTGACTCGCCGGTGCTTCGATATGCTTCGCTTCGCTTCTGACTTGGTGTTTCGACATGACAGAGGCGCCTAGAATTAATTGTTTCCAACACTCCCCTTCGCTTCTGGAGTGTCGCTACTGGTGACGTGGCTCTGTCCAGTCAGCAGCATGCAGTACTCGAACTTCTGCTTTCCGAGCTTCTTGGTCAAGTAATCAGCTGCCATCTCGGTCGTGGGGCAGTAGGATAATTCGAGTCTCCCCTTCTCGATCTCGTCTTTTACGAAGAAATATCTCAGAGCGATATGCTTCGTCCTGTTCGCGAATCCGTTTTTGTTGGCTATGCGAATTGCCGACTGGTTGTCGCAGAACAGAGTGAACCTGGGTAACTGAGCCAGCTTCGCTTCCTCCAAGAGTTCGCTAAGGTACAATCCTTCCTTGGTGGCTGAGCAGAGTGCGATATATTATGCTTCAGCTGGGGAGAGAGCGATTAATTCCTGCTTACTCGACTGCCACGAGATAGGTCCGATAGGTTCTAGGCGGTAGATGTAGCCTGTGCGCGAGCGCCGGTTGTCAGAATCTCCGGCGTGGTCGGCGTCGACGTAGCCGATTAACTTAGGTGTTGTAGTTCTGTTCTTGTAGTAGGTCAAGCCGATCGTTGGAGTGCTAACGAGGTAGTGAAGAGCGCGGTCGAGCTCCACCATGTGTTCAGCTTCAGGCCTTTTAAGGTAGGTGGCGAGTTGACTTGCAGAGTATGATAGGTCCGGGCGGCATGTGACAGCTGCAAAGAGAAGGCAGCCTAGCTTTCTTTGGTAGTCGCGTATGCCGGCGGGTCTTAGCGGAGTGGATCCTTCCTTGTTGTTTCCTGCCGCGTAGCAATATGTCGTGGAGATGGTGGTTGGTGTGAGTGCGAAGCGTTTAGCGATGGTGTCGGCATATTTCGCGGAGCTGAGGTAGATTGCGTTCCCTTTTTCCTGAATGTTGAGGCCGAGGTATTGCGTGACGGTAGAGGAGACTGTGAGAGTGAGATCTTTCTGCAGCTCCACTTTGAACCAGGTAGTGACATCGTCAGTCGAACCGATGTAGAGAAGATCGTCCACGTAGACGATAAGTAAAATGTAGTCGGTTCCTTTTGTGAGCCGGTACATGCCTTGATCGTGCGGTAGTTGGTGAAATCCGATGCGAACGAGTCGGGCGTGGAGGTACTGCTGCCACAGTCTCGGGGCTTGCTTGATCCCGTACAGGGATTTCAACAACTGACAGACGTGGTTGGAGTTCGTGCTGGAGCCATGTGGTAGCTCAACGAAAATCTCTGCGTCGACGGGTGCGTAAAGAAAGGCGTTGGCGACGTCGATTTGCCGCAGCTTCTTCTTCTTCATGGCGACGATCGCGAGAAGGATTCGTAGTGAGGTGTGTCGGCTGACCGGGGCGAATGTCTCGGTGAAGTCGCGTCCGTGTTCCTGGTCGAAGCCACGTACAACCCAGCGTGCTTTGAATTTGTCGATGGTGCCGTCTGCTTTTGTTTTCACTCGGAAGACCCACTTCCCGGTGAGTATAGTCTTGTTTCGTGCCACTCCGATAGGAACAACTTTCCAGGTGTTGCGCTCCTCTAGTGCCTTCAATTCCCTGTCCATGGCTTCGCGCCACTTTTCCCTGTGCTCCCTCCCCAGAGCCTGCTGAACTGTCGCAGGCTCCTTAGGAATCACAGTGCCGTGGACCGCGGTGACGAGGCCAAGTATCTGGAGGCCACTCTGTGTGTAGCGGGGGAGAGTGGTGTCCGCGGGATAAGCTGCTTCGTCACCGGCTTCTGGGTCAGGTATGAAGTTGGGCCCTATGCGTTCTGCTTCGTTGGTGTTGACTTCTGCAGGTGTAACGTAACCGTTGTCGGCGAAGTGGTAAAACACTTCGGCGTTGGCACTTTCGCGAGGATTTTCGTCATCCATTGGGACATCAACGGAGCAGTAAGGGAGAGGTCCGGCTTCCTCCGAGGCTGCGTCCACGTTCTGCTCGTCCCAGTCAGCTTCGTCCGCTGCGGAAGCGAAGGCTCGGTCCCACGAAGTCCACTGGTGAGGTCGCGTTGTTCTTCCACGTTGGCTAGGTAGGAGTCGAGAGTGAGTCGTTCGTAGAAAATCACATCACGTGCTGCCACTGTTTCCTTGGTGTGGACGTAAAAAATATTCCATGCGTTGTAATTATTTTCGATGCCCAGGTGCAACCCCCACTGTGCGCGTTGGGAGAATCGGCCGGCTCGTGCAGATGGGGGTTGGTACTGTATCATGCAGCCGAAGACTCGTAACATTTTTGTGCTGCCCAATTTTCCTGTCCACAGCAGATGCGGCGATGCGTTGTTCGGAAGCGATGATGACGAAAACAAGTTGTGCAGCATCACGGCGTGGTCCATTGCCTCGGGCCACTAATGGTTGGGTAGCCACATGCCACGTAGCAGCTTGCACATGGTGTTCTGAAGGGTCCTGTTCATTCTTTCTGCTACACCCTGCTGTTGATGGGCGTAAGGAAGGGAGATGAGCCTCTTGATTCCCTTCTCTGCCAGATAGTCCTTGAAGCGTTGTGAGGTGTATTCTCCGCCTCCATCTGACTGAAAACTCTTTAGCTTTACTCCGGACTCTCGTTCTGCTGCTGGAAGCCAGGCGACGAAGGCTTCAAAAGCCATGTCGCGACTCGGAAGGTTCAGGTGCCAAACATAACGGGTAGCAGTGTCGATGAAGGTGATGGTGTATTTGTAAGCTCCTTGTCCTGGTACGCGATTGTACAGGATGTCGTTGTACACCTTTTCGAGCGGTGCGTATGCTGGTGCGCTCGGGTTGTGGTGAGGGACAAACGGCTGATGCGGTAAGTCGGCTTCAGGACATGTGAAACACGTTCCGCGGACTCGTTGGAGTTCTCTCCCGTCGTGTAGTAGGAGCGAATCTTTGTCCAGCACTCCTGCTCTTATCGTGTTGTTTAACGTTGTGTTGCTTGGGTGTCCCATCCGTGCATGCCAGATTTCTTCGCTGGCGCGGTGTCCGGGTGAGCGTCGGTACATGTCGGAGTTGGAGTAGAAGCTGGCGGTGAAGTTGGCGCTTCGATGAACTTCTCGTGGTGCCGGGTTTAGCTGCTGCGCGGGTGTCGGTGGTGTGTCATCGACAAAGATCGGTGCCGTTGAAGGACCAGCGA